AATTATATTTATTTATCAATAGTCTAAAAGTTGTTGACATAAATGTATATTTATATCAATACTTATATGCGTATTATTTGATAGCTGAGTCTGTCGACAATACATTCTATATAAAGTGTTCATTACACAATTTCGTTGGAAAAAAGTAATAGATTTAATACAGTATTTATATATGTAATGTTGTTTTTAGAAAATTGACAAATACATATATAACATAATTGATAACAAAATGCAATAGCAAATTAGCGGCAGAAATTGAGCAGAATCCGTCAGTATTAAGTGTAGGAATTCTTTTAGCGAAATATATGAGTTTAATCGAAAAAAGTTGATGTCGCTCTACTGCGATTTTTGTACGAATCTTGTTGGTTTGACAGGCAACTAACAATTTGCATAGTCCAATATACTCGTAACGACTGAATTAGAAATCATAACTGTTCGAATTTAATTCGGATTCGTTTCTGGTAACACGAGATAAGAATTATCATATACAAGGTGTTTCAAAATTCGCTCTCGCGAAATACAAAACGTGACTACTTTATGCTAAAAGAAACAACTTTTCCCTTTTGTAAAATTGCATCTGACAAGCAATTTTTTGCAGGAGAGCAGGTTGAAGTTAACGAGTAAGCGCTCTAATCTCTATGTGGTGCTCAGGGCCGGCGCACGTTCATTTTTAATCCTAATCCTTGGCTAATATTCATAAGTAATATTTTAAGATACTAATACGGCTTTGTTAGACTGTTTAAGTCTGTACTTAAGACAGCCTTAAATTATAAGAATCGACTATGAATATTGGACCATGATTTTCTTCCGTATCGTATCGTTTAAAAAATAAAAAAGGTAGCAGAATAAATATTGCTTTCATTTTTTACGTAATAATAAATAAATAAAAGAATTGTCTAATTTCGTAGATCTATCTGAAAGTAAAAACAAATGTAAATAACAATATGTTTGGTGAGCTTTGTTGAACGTTCTATTCTTTTAAATCCACAATTGCGTAAGGTAGTTAAATAGTATCACTGACCTTAAATAATAGTTCACTAAATGAGTACGTAACCCTTAAATGCCCAAAAATTTATTTATTTTGGAACAATGATTAAAAATTTTAAGTAAAATAAAAGTAAAACATTCGAGTTACGGTTTTAAGAGCTAATTCTCTCTTGATCTCTTAAAAGACTTGTTCAAAATGATTAATTTTCGAAATGTTATAATACTTACATAATTACTATTATAAATCAATAAAGAATAAAAAGTCTTTGAGAGCCAATGCTGGAGGTTATTGCAATTGAGTTTTATTGTATATAATAATTGAAATAAACGTTTCGATCCTTGGATTCTTTTCAATAAATACATTAATGATAAGACTAAAATATATACAAGAATTACAGTTAAATACAAAATTGAATATTAGATTGTGTTGACCTTACAATAAATATTCGTTCGTCGTAATTTGAACTGTGAATAAGTCAATGCGTATCTGAATAAGTCAATTCGCATTCATATGTCAATGTCCATTAAAAAAAAATTACCAAGTTTACTAAATAACAAATTGAGTCCATAGTATAAAATTTAATAAATAAGATTAAAAATAAAATTGAAGATAAATTAATTAAAATTTACATGGCTGTTTGAGTATTGGCATATTATGCGATGTTGACAACGCGCTTGTCATGAATCTAATGAGAACATTTGTGACACAATAACATAACCAGACCTTCAATAAAACTGTAGAAGGGGAAGCATAAATTTTTAGAAATTAAAGTAGCGTATAAAGGATTCAAGAATTCTGTGTCACTTTGTACGTTCAGGCTATTTCTCTGTTTGTGTATGTAAATCATTTCTGATGTTAGTCGTTTGTTTAAATAACTTTCTTTGTCTAAAATTTTTATATTCTCCAATCGAAATCATGTGCGTATTCCAGTCTATGTGCTGTAATTACCGAGTGTTGTGATGTTTTCCAATTGATATGGTTCCTATGTTCCTTAATTCTTGTCTTTAACATTCTGTTGGTTTGACCTACGTAAGATGCATCACAATCCTTGCAATCAATTTTATAGACCACGTTCATGTGTGACATAATTGGTAGTTTATCTTTGAGTACTTTGATAAACTTACTCAGCTTATTGACACCTGTGTATGCTATTTGTATCGTCGGGTCATTCTTAAAGAAGTTTTTTATTTTCTCAGATATATTAGTCAAAAAGGGAATAGTAAAATATCGTCGTTTTTCTTGGTCTTTGTTCCGAATATTTTTAGATTTCTGTGAATCAATGGCCCTATTATTTAATTGTGTACAATTTTTTTGAAGTCTTGTCCTGATGGTGGAAAAAATTAAGTTAAGAGGATATCTATTTTTTAATAGGATTTTAATGACTTTGACAAAATTTTTTAAATGAAATCTTAGACGAGATAAAAGATTTAATTCATTAGAGCCTATAGAATTCTATCGTTACATAATTACCTAAAATCTGAGTAACAATTGTATCGATAAAGAAATTTATCACAATTTTTAAAAGTGATGCTATTTAACTACCATACGCAATTGTGCAATATTTAAAAGAATACATTCAACACGTGAAGCTGGCACCCCTCACCACAAAAAAAATTCACCCGTATGTCATAATTAAGTGCTAATTTAGTGCTAATTTATTGCTCTAGTCCCGAATTTTGTGTTTCTTTCCATTCGCAGGAAATTAATTTCAAAAGTGGGGATGCTGACTTTACGTTACGCTAGCATCCCACTTCCGTAAAACATATACAGAGTACTGTAAAAAAAATACATATACCAAAATTTTTTGCTACTTTTTTGCTCTATATGCAATATCTAAGATATTGCAAAGAAACTTCGAGGATTTTGAATAATTATACTTATACCAATATCGGTTACTATACGTGCGCTAGCACTACGATATTTCTGGTGAGAATTTTAACTTGAACAACGAGCAATAAATTCAGAATCGAAATAATCTTGGATCAAATAATTCTAGAAACATTTTAAGACCAAAATTGGCCCAGCAATTAATTGCTTTGCTGTACTTTACTCTTGTACGCGAGCTAGCACCGCCACACTATAAGTTGACTTTTTTTAAATTTAAACACTAAGCAATAATTTCAGAATTGAGATATTCATGGATCAAATAATTTTGGAAACATTTTACGGAATTTCTTACGGAACAATTTTAATATAAAAAAACTTGGCGCCGGCTAGACCAAGCCAAGTTTGCTAGCGGCGCCAAGTTTTTTATATTAAAATTTTTAATTTTAATTAGATGCTCTTATTTTCATGTATTTTGTTTAAAAGTAGTTATATAACATTTGTGTTTCAATGAAATGTATTTTCTGTTTATAATTGGCGCAATTTAAAGATTTCACATATTTTTGAAACAAAATTATTATTATATACTTTCATATATAGTTTAGAAAATAGGTTAGTTTGGAATAGGAAATCATTTTTTCTTCAAGGAGCACGCACACTTGGCGCCTCTTTTTTACCTTCTTTTTAAAAAGGTAATAAAGTATCACGTCTTGTAGTACTTCGTGGGCGCGAATTTTAAAACACCCTGTATATTTGTCAAACTAAACTATGCTGTATATCGGTTATATAACAATACTTTAGTATTTTAATTATAGTTATTCAATCACATAATTAACAAAATTTGGACAATCGCTCAAAAATAACGAATTTCATACACACAATATTAAGAGACACGGTAGTGTCTCGTGCCAAGTGAACGCGCAGTACGCGGAACGAGTGCGATTTTATTAACATTATATACATATATTATCGATACTGTTCTCAATACGTTAAGGCCAATAATTATCAATATATAAAATTCGAATAAATGTGTACTAATCAATTTAATTAATTTAATTATAGCCACCCTACACTTACTAATATTAATTGTTAGTTGTAATAATTATAATAGTTGATATTTAAGTCTTATTTAATTCATTTACATATATTTCTTGAGTCATATATATTATACTTACGATCCTCCAAAATCAACAACAAACAATCTTTGCAGCAATTCATACGTGAAGAGAGTAACACCAAATTGAGGTGATGATCTGAACACTCGAGCTGTAAGAATAGAAAAGTGTATGATATTACATATATATATTATACATAATTTTGAACGTGCAGAGTCTATATTCTTTGTCCAAATAAAGATTTGAAATGTTTTGATGCAAGCTTGTTGATATGACTATATTTTTTTCAGAACGAATATGTATAGAATATACATGGAACAGATATTTTTTAGAACAAATATGTATAGAATATACATAGAACAGACATATTTTTTAGAACGAATATGTATAGAATATACATAGAACAGATATTTCAAAAACTGATGTGTAGTTATAAATAGTAATAATATTGTACACAGTTTTACTTTTTGTCCATTTTATATCAAACAGGATTATATCAAATGGGATTATATCAAATAAGATATTTTTATTTATAGTGCGGTTAATTTTGCGTAAATAAATCTGTAAATATTAACCACAATTGAGAAAATGCTGGTCAATAAAGTTGAAAAAACTGTTAATTAATGAAGATCAATAAATTCAGAAAACTTAATGCGAAATGAAGCTTAAAAAATTACATGTAAAATTATATTTATACGTAATATTATATTTCACATACTTTTATTAATTAAAGTGATTCTTTAGTAAATCGAGTTACCATAGAAATGTCTAATTTTTTTATATAATAAAGTTGAAGTACCGAAATTGACGTGTGCAAAATGCTACGGTAGGTTAACGATGAAATGAGAGAAAAAAAATGTTGAATATGTAACTTTTTACATATAACTTGGTGACAAATAAGGCTTGCAGACACTTCTTTGACTAACTACACACAAATCTTACCATAATCTTTTCTCCAAAAAAAAAAAAAAAAAAAAAAAAAACCGAGATTACAGTAGTTTAAAAAAAATTATAATTTTAATGGTAACAAAAAAGTAATAGGTCAACGTTCTGGAAAGATATTTACGTGCATAAACTTGCATATAAACCTCGAAAAGTAAACATAATCTCATTTTGTTTTCGTTCAATGAAGATGCAGCTCTTGATTTATTATCATATGTTCCATATTATTTTATTAAGATATACATGTAGTTTTAATATTTTATCCAAATTATGCAGACATTTGTAATTTTGGATGGACCCTGGTGAGTCATTCCTATGTTCTCCTTTCCACATCGGGTGTCCTCTGGTGTTCCTCAGGGCTCTATTCTTGCACCGCTCCTTTTTATTCTTTTTACAGCGAATGCAGCATCGCTACCATTAACATCTCGTCTTTATATGTATGCTGATGATATGCTTCTCGTAAATTCTTTTAAACATAATGAGGCATTTACTATATCATCCCTTGTCAGCGACCTTCAATCTATATCTGATTGGTCTGTCTCAAATGGTCTTCACCTAAACCCTTTCAAATCTTTTTACATGATTGTTGGCTCCCCATCCTTCTTGTCTCGTACGTCTGCTCTGAATATTCACCTTAACTCCATGCCTATCGCATCTCCTCCATCGATGCGCGTCCTTAGTCTACATATTGATCCCTCCTGGTCCTTTGATCATCACGTTACCGTAAAATGCAGGGCTACATATGCTCGTCTCCATAAGCTATATCCACTGTGTCATGTTCTTTCCATTTCTCAAAAACTCAACTACTTATCCTCTCCTTATTTGATTACGCTGACACGGTCTACATTCCTGACTTTACAGAATACAGCGCATTCAAAATTCTTGTCTGCGTTTTGTCTGTGGTGTGCGAAGGTCTGATCATATAATTCTGCTTTTTCAATTCTCTGGCTGGTTGAATATCTATCAACAATTCACTCTGCATCTCTGTTGTATAGTCTTCAATGTCCTACATTCAAACAATCCATCCTATCTTCGTGACTGTCTTCATTTCACTGAAGACTTTCATACAACCTCTGTTACACGCTCCCAAACCTTACTCTCCTATCCTCTACATCGTACCTCCAAGTTCCAAGCTGCGTTCTCTTATATTGCTATAAAACATTTCACCTCTCTACCCCTCAATATTTGTTCTGCTACTTCCTTTCCCATATTTAAGTCTGCTGTCTCTCGGCACATTGTGTCTGCTGCAAATTGATAAAAATGTTTAAAAGCCTCGTGTAAATCTCTGTGTAAATCTGTTTCTCCTACTTTAATTGTATCAATGAGCTGTGAATATTTCGCGCGTTTATTATTATCTATTACATTTATCTATTACATTTATTGCTTTACATATTTCATTTCCGAATGTAATTCTGAGCTCATCTTACTTCTTTGCTATACTCTTACTTATAACTCTTCATCTCATTGTAATTTTTTGTTTAACATGCGTTTTTAGTTCTTATTCTCTTCTAAGCTATGTTCTGGGACTAGATTTTTAGGTAGCACTATGTTGATACCTCGCCTTTTGATGATACTTTGCTAATTAGTGTCTTTTGTCTCATTGTTCTGCAATGGTTTTGTACTGCACATCAATAAAGTTATTATTATTATTTTCGGCATTTTACTAAAGAACCACCTTAATAAGATCTGAGAAACAAGATTGACAATTGTCGTTTTTTAAATAAATGTACCTGTATTAATATGTTTCAATTGAATAAATAAATTGAATGCTTTGCATGCTTGATGCAAAGGATTGTGATAACGCAATAGTTATATTATTATATTATTAATACAACTGTAGATGAAATGTATCTGCATATGTATGTAATACAATTATGGTTTATAGTATATTATCGTATAATTCATCATGAAATATTGTGTTATATCATTTATTCAATTAACTCGTTATGTGAATATTTTGGCAATTATTTGTCATTTTTTCCCTTGATATAGTGATGTAAAACCATAAAAAAAATTTATATTTCCTTTTTTTGAGGAAGAGAAAAATATTAATATCATTATAACAAGACAGTATATTACTACTTTCGATGAAGATATAAAAATTTTACACTATACTCGTAATATACTGTAATATTATATATGTATTTTAAAAACTACTAATACGCTTTAAATAATATATACGCTTTATTAACCCGCACTTTCAAAATTGTAGCCGAAAATATGCATATATTATATAAAATGTCGTTAGATTTGATAAACATTCTGAATACAAAGAATGAGTATGTTTATTGCAAATTGGAAAAAAGACGTAAATTATAAGGGAAGATGAAAAGAACAAGTACTTACTGATAAATAAATCGTCGAGTCATATGGGGGAGGAAATAAGGTTGAAAGATGCAGCAGGGTTGATTCCCCGCGCATGCAATCGACCAAAGTAAAATATATTACTAATGATACTTTTAAAATTGTAATGAAAGAACCATGACAATCTTGTTTCATTTTTACTCCTTACTAGAAATAGATTATAATCGATTCAATTATTTGTTTTAAGATAATCGTATTTATCTTAAAGCAGGAACTTTAAAAGAAAGATATCCTGCACTTAATATATAAAAAGAAGAAAATTATTCTTTAGAAGTATTATTCTTGTAGTTTATATTTATTTCTTTCGCAACATCTCACTGATCATCTTATCGATATATGAGGTATGATATATTAGAGTTGCAAATTTTTGAAAATCTTGCCAATGTGTATGCAGGAAATATTAATTGTCTCAAGAGCTTTATTTGTATCAGATATATGTATAGTAAAATAATATACCTGTCGCGCCTTTCCAGAATGCCCTGGCACCTTCTTCTTTGAATATTTTTCTTGCGCAATCCAGTAATCCGTTGTACGTAGTTTGACCTTCTCTAGCTACAACCTAAAACACGTATGACAATAAAATTACAAAATAATCGTAATTAATAGATATTAAACAAAAAAAAAAAAAAGAATTTCTAAAACGGTATATGTGAACACACTACAAGAAAGAAAAGAAGGCCTAGTTTCCTTCCTTAATTAATCGTAATTTTTAGACTTTTTTATTGGTAATTAAAGTGAGAAATGCACCTGTAATCTTGTTTTTATCACATCCGCAGGAGTTACCAGTGCTGCTGCAGGTACACCGGCAATAGCACCGGAAACAAGAAGCGACAATGGCGTATTGTAGCCCCCTTCGTCGGCCAATCGCGCTTTTGTGTGAGCATACATAGGAAAGTAAATTGCGCTAAATGGCACATCTCGCAAAAAGCAAGCTCTAGCACCCTATAAGAAAATTGTAATTGTTATTACCTTAGCTTGTGAGTGATGGGAAATACGATGAGTTGGCGTTAAAATTATTATCATTACTTACTTTGTACAATCCAAAAAGACCTAATTCCTTCACGACGGTCCATGCTCTAACTTTTGATCCTCCTGCAATCTCGCCAGCTACTTGTAGCCGAATTTTTACTATCTCCAGAGGATTGGTGAATATGACTTGTGATCCTCCAGCCTATAAAAAAATTTGAACTTATTATGGTTTATGTTCCTTATTTGCTTTCTCCAATTAGCGAAGTGTACGATTAGAATAAATGCAATCATCCAAATCACTGTGTAATCTCATTTTATCGGGGGGGAAAAAAAATAATTGTATGTTCCTTGGATTTTATATTCTGATCTACACATTCAATCTATTTTGTATTTTGTTCTAAAATTCATATATAATCAAGTTTAATTAAAAATTTTAAAGTAATAAAAATATGAAAATATCAAGTACTCACACAGGCGCCAGATACAATTTCTCCGTATAGCGGTAAATTTCCATTTTTGTCCATAAACTTATCTCTGACAAAATCGTTAACTGTGAGTTTAATAGCCTTTTCCGGAGCTACACCCATTAATTGAGGCATCAAGCCTCGATAAAGACCAAAAAAGCCTTCATGCCGAATCACCTGTCAAACACAAAACACCAGCTTTATGATTAACAATGCAGAAAGTGTTAAACGGCGAGACTTTTCGATTCCAACCTTTTTACAACAATCAAAGCTATTTCTGTACATCAGTTCGCCTATAAATGATCCAGTCCTCTGATTCTGCATTCTGGTCTTCACCAAGTCGATAGGATATACAGCTGTAGCACCAACAGCTAAGAAAGAGATACATTGCAGCATATGTATAAATTCACTCTAGAATATTATTATACAGGATGTCCGGAAAATTGAGGTCAATACTTCGGAAAGTGATTCGGGATCCAAAAAGAAGGAAGAAAAGCTACATAAACATAGGTCCTGAAACAAGTCGATTTCGAGTTATAATTTTTTTTAACATAAAAGTGATTATAACTTGGAAACGACTTATTTCCGGACCTACGTTTATACAGCGTTTTCTTTCTGCTTTTTGGGTCTCGAATTACTTTCCAAAGTATTGACCTCGATTTTCCGGACACCCTGTATATAAAGCTCTAGTTCGAACGAAAGAGTATTTTCCTCCTTAGTTGTGTTGTCACATAACAATTTAATCTTATTATTGTTTATTGCTTTTATTAATATATAAACAAAAATATTGCAAAATTTTTTAGACTGACCTTCTTTCAGCATTAAAAAAGTAACGGAAAAAGTAACGAATCGTTACTTTTAAATATGGTAACGGTAACGGGGGATAACGAGTTATTTTTAAGAGTCAGTAATTATAGTAACGGTAATTTTTTCGATTCGATAACGAGTAACGACAACTACTTACAGGGAAGTTTCACAACTGTCCGGAACCGATTTGATTCTCCATAAAATATATTGTTAAACACGAAAATCTAAGAGACACGTATTTTTTTATACGTGCGCTAGCTCATGTTTAAAGGATGAAACACCCCTTTGAAAAAAAACGGTATTTTTATTTCGAGCTGAATACCGTCGGAAGTATAAAGATGGAAAAAAATTTTTTAAACAAAAGTTGTACGGTTTCAAGAGTACTTCAATGTCGTGAAGAAAAAAAATTTTAATTTTTTTAACAATTGTAAACACAAAAAAATTAAAAAAATTTTTTTTCTTCACAACATTGAAGTACTCTTGAAACCGTATAACTTTTGTTTAAAAAATTTTTTTCCATCTTTGATGTGATACTAATAATAAATGTGATTTAATTTCTTTAAAAGTTGAGGCTGCAATATTATTATATTATATTATTATAGTTAAATATTTTAATAAAATCTTATTTTTTATGGAGTATATAAAGTCATGATTTCTGAAAATCATACGGTCTCTGTAAAATTAATTAAAAAATGTCGATTTTAACTCCGTCCGAGAAAAATGTGACTCTGTTAGCTTTTTCTCTGTCTCTTTGTTTTAGTAAGACTTATCTAAGTTTCGGTTTCGTTTTCGGCCAAAATTGAATGACAATCGAATATTCGTATTCGGCTTCGGCCGGAAGTCAAAATGTGACTTCAGTCGGACTCCACCGCGAATAAAGGAGCGTTGAAAAGACAATCCAAAAAATTGACCAATCAAAAGATGCTTCGAATTATTTGGCCAATCAAATGGACCATAGCCAGAGTTAGCGTCGCTTCGCTCATTTTTGGACAGTGTCGAACTTTGAGTGAAGCTTCGCTTGCTACGCATTTTCGCATAAATCGACGGAGTGGGGAATCTTCGCCAGCGAAGCTTTGCTGCATGAAATTGTACCTTAAAAGAATGATGATTTAACTCCAAGCTTATCATTTGTATGAGCGTAATAAACAAATTTTATAATTTATACAATTTTGTATACGAAAAAAAGGTTAGATAAATAATTAATGTAAGCTGATACGAATAAGGCCCAGCACTAAATAAGGCCCACTTTCAAATTTATTACTTAAGAACACGCTTTATATATAACACGTCAAGAGTATAAGGGTGTCCCATAATTCACCTGACAACGCTCGTGGGCAGATAGAGCGGACTAAACTGAGTCGAAAAGTCCTCTACTATTTTGTAATTTTCGCAATAGTTAACAAGATATTAATTACTAAAAATTGCCGAATATTGGTCTTCAATAATTTTTTTCTCAAATACTATCAATTTTACAAAAAAACTGCAAGAGACAAAAATTGTTTATTTTCTTCTCATAAAGTACTGAGAATTTTTTCAGAATTTTTTAATACCGTATTTTCTCATGATGGTAAAAATAAAAAAATGCAGTACTAAAAAGTTAATAAAAAATTCTGAAAAAATTCTTAGAGTTTTATGAGAAGAAAATAAATAATTTTGGTCTGTTGCAATTTTTTTGTGAAATTGATAGTATTTGAGAAAAAAATTATTGAAGACCAATATTCGGCAATTTTTAGTAATTAATATCTTGTTAACTACTGCGAAAATTACAAAATAGTAGAGAACTTTTCGACTCAGTTTAGTTCGCTCTATCTGCCCACGAGCGTTGTCAGGTGAGTTATGGGACACCCTGTATATTAGAGAGCCTCTGAGGGAGAGAGTGGTAAATTGCTTTTCCTCTGATTGGACGCGGTCATCAAAACTTCATAGGCATGGAAGAGATTGGAGAAAACTGATCACGTGACCCCCGTTCTGATTGGACGCGGTCATTCACGTGACCAATTTGCCACTTTCTCCCTCTGAGACTCTCTAGTATACATATATTAAAAGATGTGTCATAGGAAGTACATGAAAAGAGGCTAGGGAATTAAAATTGGCAGTAACACGTTTGTTTAATGCAACAAAAACTTGTGACGAAGTGTAAGCCATTTTTATAACAATTTGCTACCAAATATGCATTATTTTATAGTTATTATAATATATTATATTATTCAATTTCCTAACTATGAAAAAAACAAATAAGTCGACTTTTTGAAATAATATTGATTTTTTCAGAAACTATGAACTCTTAAAATAAATCCATTTATGTGATTATTGTTTATAATGGTTATTGTTCTTTGTTCGTTATGTGTGAGACTTACGCCAAAGAATAATGATTTTCAATGTTGCAAACTTTTAAAAAACTAAAATTGCATTCAAATTGCTAGAAATTTTCAAAGATTAATTACAGATCAAATTAAAGGTAATTGTGATATTTAAGAGTAAGTCCTAAGGGATTTCCTTTTTATGTTTAGCAATTTTTAAATTGATTTAGAAAGATAATCTTTAGTTTCTTTACCTTATTATAATTTACTTTTTATTAGAGATATTTTATCATATTCATGTGTGTGTAATAAGGCCCAATGATAGAGTTAAAACATTTCTTTTCGTTTATTTATAAATAATCTATATAGAAGATATATTTTATTTTTGTGAATGAGTGAAATAATTATTTTATTCCCAAACTCTCTGTATCGAGTTATTTTGATAATCTCTGTTAATCCATAATTTATAATCTTAATTTCACATTTTCATATGCTTAAATAAGAAATAATAAACGACGTATATTGAAAGATTGCTTAATATCCGCTGAATTAAATTTTTCTTAACTTAAAGATAACGTTTAAATAATTGTACATATATTTTCTTATTCGTATATAATATTAAGTTTAAAATTTGCTTATTATTGTATTTCTATTCTTATACTTTTTGTCATGGTGTAACAACAATAATAAAAATAACAATAGTAATAAGATATTGTATTAAGGAGGT